GAAGACACCCGTAAGCTACTAGTATTTGACCTGTTATAACGTGAAAAATGAATGCTGCTGATTGAGGGTAGCGAATTATTGATCGGACCAAAGACGCACAAACACGTAGAACGACCTAGGGTTCTGATTGGTCTCGCTTCCCTGTCTAACCCAGCCAGTTGAGTCCAGAACGAAAGTCTCAGCCTCGGATATATGAATCATTATATTTCAAACATATTTTGTTTATATACCAGTCAAGCAAACCACAACGTACCATAAAATAGAAAATAACATTGTACAATAATGGCCAGTAGGAAAATGACACGTTAAATAAATATTGACCAATAAGATGATACCATTTCATGTCCAAGGATAGCATTAGCCTTAACAGGATAATTTTTGGGATATTTTCCTGAATATCCCAACAGACCACAGATTTCTTAGAAATATTGCTGACGTCTGCTGGGACCACGGGGTAAGTAATAGTGAGGTTAAACGCAGGGTATTAGGGAACGATGCTAAATCAGTTGATGAGGTTGTGAATCTTCATCGACTGAGATGGTTGGGCCACGTGTTACGTATGCCTGAACACCGATTACCACGTCGTGCAATGCTAACCGGTATTGGCGATGGTTGGAAGAAAGTTAGGGGCGGCCGAACCAAAACGTGGCATCAGTCACTAACTTTTAGTCTGAGCCATGTTGGTAGATGCAGATTGCTTGGTTGGGGTCCGTGTGACTATCGTAACTGATGGTTGGAGACTCTTGGTGACATGGCTCAGAATCGATCACAATGGCGTCGGTGTATACATTCTCTGTCTTCCCTTAAACTAAGAGATTAAAATCGCTTCATATCTTTCTTTCTACGAACTAATTCTTTCTTCCTGTACTGTATCCTTATATGCAATCTTTCTTTTATATATTACCACCTGAATTAACTACTTTTATGAATCCGGTGTTCATCTTGCTGTGCTAATGCGGTATGGCAACCTGGACCGATGCATATATGTGCCTGGTCCTACGTTGTGGCTGACTGACTCCGTTTACCAATTTTATGGGAAGCGTCTGAACCCTCAAAATGTTTTTAACATGCGTCAAAATGTGTTCTCGCAGGCCAACCTTCCTGGTAAGCAGTGTGCCTATTTATATTGTAAACATTAGGTGATTACGCTAATTTGAAAACTCACATCATATCACTTGTAGGGTTTTTTGAGTACGAAATTGATGAAGAAAATTGTCTTCAGTATCTTTTCTCAATTGCTGATCAAGTGAATTCGACAACTAGTTTTCTTGATGTTGTTGGTTTTGACGGGACCTACAAAACCAGTAACGAAAATTTATTTTTGTATCAAATAAGTGCATTGGATATGAATTTAATGTCAGTATCTGTTCAAGTAGCTTTTATAAGTTGCAAAACATCTGCCTTGCTGTCACGTTTACTTTCATTCTTCAAGCGTTCAACTAACAATCGGGAGTTGGTTAGTATTGTCACAGATGACTAACCTGCAATAGCCGATGAGATTTCTCACTCATGAAATGGTTAACTTGACAGACCGGATTTACTCCTGTTCGAAAAGTGTGGTCGATAATCGAACTCACCGATGATAACATCAAACGCTAACTACCATATTAACTCCCCTTGACCTTGCCTTGCTTATTCACCAACTACAACACTTATAAAGAGAATGGGTGAAAGTGGCATATAGAATTCTTAAGACGGATAGAGAGCCTTTATTTATTCGGTTTTTTAACTCATTTTTCCAATCCTCTAGTTACTGTTCGGTATGTTGTTCATGTCTCTATTTTCCCTGTTCAATAGAATGTATTAACTGTTTATTTTGTATACTAATTGTGTTGATTTGCGTTTTAGAAACATATAAAGTTTATCAGGCCAAATAGTTTACTTGTTGTGACTTTGGCTAAGCTAAGGCTCTGTGTTTGACAGACTGGTAAATTGTTTAGAATTGCATCTGTAAGAAATTGCTTCCTACACTGTTTTCACTTAACATTTAGCTGACGACGTGAGTTTTCGAGAAAAAAATATCACCTCTAAAATGTAAGAATTCTCTCTGAAAGCATCTAAATTATTAATTCAGTTTGTCATAATTGTTAACTTTCCTCAACTAAAAGTCGAAATCTAATTTATGTAATTAGAATTCCTCGCCTTATCGTGGCGGGGGTGTTGTTTACGGAAATGAGAGGACGAAAAGCGAATGTCCGGCGCTTTAACCGGATCCCAAACCAATGGTGCACATGGGCTCCAGTATCCTGCGGGAACAAACGGCGTATGAACCAATCGTTGGTCACAGGCTACCATGGGAATGCATCTCCTCACGATGCTCCACTGCCTTGTGGATCGGACCTTTAGGTCAAAGGCTCGGGGTGTGGCCCCCTAAGAAAACTACCTGCTTCGGTTTGGACACCCAGGCAGTATCACAGCCCACACACAAATATGGTGTGGCGCATATATATTTGGTGCCCTCTTGTACCGATGTTTATGTGTTGAAATAAATAAATAATATTAATGATAGTTTAAGTTATCCGACTTTTGATATTCAGTTCCGAATTTTGATTAGTCTTTATTGGCCTATGTACATCTCGTGTGGATACATTCGATATAGGTCATTAGTAATTTAGAATAGATGGACTGTAGGAAGTTGTAGAATCCAAGACGCGCTTCTCGGCCTATTTAAGATTCATCATTCCGACTTATCAATACACCAGCGCTGATCACTTACCCGTTAAACAGGTTAGGGATTATGCAAACTCCGTAATCTGACGGATAGTGTATTTTTGTTTGGATCAAAAAGTAATGGATTCGAATCTCAGTGTGAACTTCAGCACGAATGCATGTACATTCACCTAACGGGTCCCAGATGAGAAGAAATGTACATCCTGGATTCCGCTGTTAGCTTTAATCCATCTATTCTAAGTAGCTTGACTGTTTACGACTTTTTAAGATCATAATAATAATTAAATATACGTTGACTAACTAAATTTTGACAGTCTTCTTCGTTGGTCAAATATTCTGACCTTTACTAACTGTAAATTGTAATTTTTACCATCACTCACATTGTAATCACCATACCGATTATTGTGCCATCATCAGTTATCTTGAAATGTTAACATTCACTTGGGGAATTGGAAATATTTAACATTTTTCCTAATTCAATGCAGTGAAGATTTTCCACATCACTTTTTTCGTCATTCCTTTAGACAACTTTTAAAAACTTTGCATTTTTTTTGTCTATAGTTAACTAATTCCTTTTTTATGGTTTACATCATATGATTTGGCTCAAATTCACTGTTTTATAATGTCTGGTTTTATCTTTTCTGGACTGTATGATAAACGAATTGTCTAGATAAAATAAAATTCGTTCGTTTCAATTCGTTATTTCACTGGCAAGTGATTAGATTAATTGGAAAGTAATTTTTTCTACTAAACTGATTGGTAGGTTTCGTTTCACTGAAAACGATTATTTTCAAGGTTGTTTTCCCTGTGAACCACGAAAATAGAAAGACGGTTTACAGAGTTATGGAGCAAACTAATAGATGAAGATGGTCAAAAATGGATGTTAATTGTATCTAAATGATCTCTTACTGTATTCGTGAATAATTTAGAGTTGAAATATTTCAGTACAAATGTACGTACTATGAAATTTAAGAGGTTTATTTGCTCTATAGTTTACTTCATGGACTGACTGTAGTTAGACCCCCAGTGGGATAGTAGTTGCGGATTGCTGAGAAGTCTTTTAATAGAACTAAATAGCTTCCTGATCTTTAATAATTGTCTAATTTAGACTTAGAACTACAAAGCTCAACAATTTTTATAAATAATCCCTCATGCTAATTTATTGATTCATTACTAAAAGGAATGTGGCTATTTCTAAATTCTCTTTGGTATTTTTCTACTCAATAATGCCTCGTAAATTTTTGCGCGAAATTACAAGCTCATTGTAAGAAAGCTTATGTGTTATATGAGCTAAATGAAACTTGACAATATTTGGTTCTTAAAATGACTCGAATTGACAAAAATATCTTGTATGAAATCAAACAGTAGATATGACTTGATGTTTTTAAAAAATTACAAGAAATACCCTCTGTTGATAAAGACTGTATGATAGAGTATTTGATTTTATTCAATGCATTGGTAAGGGTGTAGGCTTAACTTTTCAATAACTATCAGTTTGAGATTGTAGTATGTTTTCTCGAAGGCTCTCTTTTGTCTATCTCGAAACTATGCTATGTGATTTTCCTCTAAATGGTGAAGTATTATATACTCTTTTCTTCGAGACAGAATTCTAGAGTTTTGGTGTTATCTGAGTTTTAAACCGATTTAAGAACTTTGTCGGATAACTGTTTGATATCAGTTTCTTGGTTAGAAGTTTGTTTCTTCTTCGAGAGCATCAGAATTGATACATTAATTCACTCTCCTGTTTAACCATTTCCTAGTCTCATTTCTTGTGTTACACGTTTGAAATAAAGTTCAGTTTAACAACTTCGTATCGAGTTTTATACTATTGACCATTGTCATAGAAACGGTAATCTGGTTTAGTACTAAACGAGAATTAGGATAGACTTGTTGATACCTACTATAACTTATCTGGATAGCCATGGCGACCGACAAATATGAATGAATTATGAGTTTGACTATTGGGGATTGGGGGATACAGTTGGCTATATGTCTTTTACTTCTTTCTCTGTCTAGTTGTTTGTTACCCAGGTGTTACAACCATGCGTCGTAGCTTATTCAGACCACAGACCTTACACTATCCTTCTATGTTTCAAACTGATCAGCTTGATGTCTTTTAGATTTCATGGGTTTATTAGGAGAATTATTCAGGACCGCACCGAAAGATATCATCGTTTTCTAAAATAACCAATATAAATTAAACGAATTATGTACGCGTAGTACTGAGAAATTGATTGACTGTCATGTTCATTAGTTCATTAACTTTTGTTTCGTATTGCATTCGTTTACATTTTGATCATATAATCTGAAATTATTTTTCTCGAAAACAGATCATTCAACTTTAGATGATGAATACTTCCAAACAAAAACTTCTTTTCAGTCATTAAATTCAACTACAAATAAATTAATCAAATCGCAATCACCTCCAATGAAATTGAAAAAGTCTTCACATTTTATATCATTAACTAAAAGCAATGAATTTAATTCAGATGATTTATTATGTACTAAAAATGATGCAAATCATCACCAGGTTGCTAATCAATTAAATAAAGAAGAATTTTCACGTCTTCCTGTTGGTTTTCGATGGAATTACATTTTTGTAAAATTATCTAATTGGTTTCAACGTGTACATACAATAAATTATTCAAGAACATCATCAGATCGTGTATCATCTTCCATACCGATACATAATAATAAATCTGCCTCTGTTTCAAATTCTTATCGTTATCAAGTAAGAAAATTTGAACCGATTAGATCACGAAGTCAATCAGATGAAAAATCTGGCAAAATTAAATCTAACCTACATAATAATGATCATTTTTGTAGTGATTCTAAAACAAAAATACAATTATCAAGTGAAATTAATAATTCTAATCGAAATATTTTATCGTAAGTTGATTTATTTTCCTTTTGCATAGTAGTTTATCACAACTAAGTGTAAACGTATTTATATTCAGTTATTGTTATTGATACAATTCAAATACATTTATTTAATTTGATAATCATTGACTGTTTAACTAAGCCATCTAGGTAGAATCAGAATATCTGAGCTGATGTCCTCATGACTATTATAACAAGTGGTTAAAGAAATTAAATAGAATGATTCAGAATCGGTTGTAATGACACAAATACATTCTTTTCCTGAAAATATTTATATCTTTTACTTCGTAAATTTGTTCTTCCTTCTTGAATTATACTGTTTCTGTCCACTTTTCCCTATTGTTATTATTATTCTTACTACTACTTCTAATACTGTCACGACTTTTACCACTCCGACTATTGTCTTGATAATTTCACCTTACCGTACTGATGTGGTATGGCAAATTAAACAAATGGATAGATGTGATTTTTAGGTTGCTAATTGTAGAGATCTAATTGTTATAACTTGTGACCGCTGATTAGGGAACAGTGACTTATCGATCGGATCAATGACGCGTAAACCCGTATGAGCAGCCTAGAGTTCTGATTGGCCCTGCTTTCCGTCTAGCCCAGCCAGATAAGTCCAGAACACAAGTTTCAGCCTCTGAAATATGAATCATTATATTCCAAACATACTGAGTTTATACACCAATCAAACAGACCACAACGTACCAATAAAATATGAAACAACATTTGTACAAGAATTAGCCAGATGTGGCTGTGAATGATGGAAGTGATAATTAATATACTGGGTATAACTCAAGAATGGTAAAATGTATAATAATAGTTTATGGGTCAAAATAAAGCTTATAATAAGAGGAATATGAATATGCATAGTTTAGTTACTTAATAGTTATACAATAGAAATATACGTCTAGTATTGGTTCATCAATAGATCCCAAAAGTTACCATCCATTATTCTTGTCGGGACATAACACTAATCGGTTGAAAAAGCATGTAAATTAAGATATTTTTCTTAAAAAACTGAAATTTAATTAAGGACTCATTACAGATAGTCCAAAACCAGAAAAATATTTTGGCATTGTTTAAAACTTTTTAGCATCACATAACCACAAGATTGAACTGATATCCATATTGAAACGTGATTGGCTCTGTCACAATTTTTATTATCATTACCTTTATTATTATTATTATTACTATTATTATTATTATTATTATTATTATTATTATTATTATTATTTAAGTGGATGATTTTCTGCCACATACCTCTAACAGTTTATTATGAATACTGTATCCACTTACTTTATGGTTTATCTACAAATTATGACAGTTATAGGAGAATTGATTTTTATGTTAAAATACATTTAAAAACTTGTCATTATTTAATTTCCTTTATTATGGAACGATTTCGATAAAGAGTTGTTTTGTTGTACTTAGATTAATTGTAAAATTCAGTGTTATTTGTTTACATTTTCGTATAATTAAATATTTAGTGAGGTCAGACAGTTAGCTACAACGTAAGACCAGGCATATATATACATCGGTCCAAGTTGCCGCACTTCATTAGCACTACAAGATGATCACCAAATTCATAGAAGTAGTTACTTCAGTAGTGATAATGTATAAA